GCTGCATCCACTTTTCTCCCACACCCCTCGAGCCTGGAACACCAGTTCGTCAAACCGTCGATTTCGCCCGCCGCTGGGACCTAATGCAACAGCACACTGGCCAACATCTCCTCTCAGCCGTCATGGACTCCATGGACCTGCCTACGCTGGGCTGGAGCATGGGTCAGCCTGGAGAAATGAACTACGTAGAACTACCACGGAAACCATCGGAAGAAGAGCTCCAAACTATCCAGAAGAATTGCAATGCCAAGATTAGGGAGAGCATGCCGATCACTGTAGAAACACCAGAAGGCAAAGGAAGCGATAGCCTACCTGAAGACTACGATAAAGAGAAAGGTGTTGTCCGGTTTATCAAGATTGGAGATATGGACTACAACGCTTGCTGTGGGACGCATTTGCAGAACTCGTCGCACATCAATGTCATAATGCTGCACCACATGCAGTCGGTACGAGGCACCAACTGCAGACTCTTCTTTACAGCTGGAGATCGCGCGATCAAGATGGCTACTGAGTCTATCAACGGCCTTCGCTCCATCGCTGTGTCTTTGTCATCCGGGTCGGCGCCTACGGATGTTGCGGCAAAAGTACAGAGAATGAGCGACCAAATTTCTGAAGGGCAGAAGAAGGAGAAGAAACTACTAGCTGAGATAGCAGCGTTTGAGGGCGATTGCGTAAAGACCTATCTACAAAGCCACGATACGGTCTTTATGCATCGCGCAACAGATGGTCTTGACTTCATCAACCTTGTGCTCTTTGAAGTCAAGGAAATTGTCAAAGAGCGAGAGGCTGTCGTAGTCTTGTCTTCAGGCGAAGTCAAGAGCTCTGGATCCATCGTCGTGTTTGGCAAACCTGACTTGGTTGAGAAGATGGCTGCGAAGGTGAAGGAGATTGTAAGCACAGCCAAAGGAGGCGGCAAGGGAGAAAAGTGGCAAGGCAAGGTCACCGAGTGGCAGAAAGGCGAAGTTGAAGCGTTGAAGCAAGCTATTGATGCGCAGTAAAAACTATGGGATATCTGATAGAAGGTAGGTATATACAAGTAGAAGAGTTGAGTAAAGACGAAAGTGGTATGGAGCGACTGTCCAAGATGCGTGATCCTCCAAAGCATGAAGTGTGAAAAGAAGAGGTATTTACATCGAACGAATGGGGTTGCCATCTAGGCGAAGCTGGAGGATGAGAGGAGAAGGCGGGTTCGTGAGCATCTAGACACTGTAAACCTTGACGGAGTTGATGAGCCAGTATGTCTAGTCACTGTTAGTATATTCTCTTCCACAAGCACCATATGAAGAAGACTTACATCACCAAAGGCCTGGGGCTGGTTCGCCACATAAGCATTGCAACTGGGGTTAAGCTGGGAGCAAGAGTTCGAGCCCCAAACACCACCCGCCCAGTCTCCACAGAAGGTGATGTCGAACACGATGTTCAAGTCCCTAAACTTGGCATTGTAATCACATCCTCCACCGAAGTTCGCGATCGGGGTACCCCAAGTTCCAGGGTCGGGGTTTCCGCTCCGGATGTTTGTTGGGATGTCGCGGGTGGCAAAGTACCACACCTTGATTCCACCGTCTGTCCATAGTGTGGCGTATACACCACCGCCGTTGGCGTTAAATTGTGAGCCGTATGTGACGGGGTTGTTGGCGGAGATGCCGCAGCCGTTGAAGCCGCCGCCGGCACCGCAGTCCCCGCCTCCGCGGCTTCCTGTCTCGCCTCCTGAGCCGATACCGGGGTTGCAGCCAGGTGAGGTATGAAGGGTGACTTGGTTGGTGGGGGCCTTGTGAACACCTTCGTAAATGTCGATCTCACCTTGGTTTGGCCAGTTGGGACCGACCATCCAGCTGCAAGTACACCGTTAGTCTTGCACAGCATGAAGGCGATATTACAGGCAGGTGAGGAACTTACAAGGCGGGCCACGAACCACATGCACTACCAGGCACGTGTGCAAAGTCTGCAATCACAAGCGCGCGGTTGTAGGCTGTCTTGCTCTGCACGCGTACACTCTTTCGACCAGGACCGTTGGGGTCAAGGTGCGTTGTAGAGTCTACACCCATGTAAACTTGACCGTTTTGCGTCTTGAGCAAACCAAGCTGTTGAGCTTGTTGCCCGTTAACGTAGTCTACGAAGCCATCTAGATGTTTGTTAGACACAAGTGACATAACATTCTGCCAGTGCACATACGTGTAGGATCGCCGATATCCTGGACGTCGAATTTGTTCACCCAGTTACTGGCATCGTACGTGTCGATCAAGTTGTATGCAGCCGAGGCATGAATATCGTCTGAGGAGTAGACATAGGATGAACCATTAGCCCAAAAGCCAGGCCCGGCTGGTAGTGCAGTGGCACCACGCCACAGGATGGGGAGAGATAGGAGGAGAGATTTGAAAGACATGATATCGTATGTGTGATCAAGATGTATTGTCGTACGAACAGATATCAAACCCGGGATTCCGTGATATACTTATAGCCATGCGCATCTTCGTCGCGACCAAGATGCGCATGCTTCCATACCCCTTGCTCACCGTCGAAGATGCATCTAGGTCGGCTGCACTTAGCAGAGGGGGATCCTCGTTGGAGATTGCATGACCTACTGGCTCGCTGTATACACATGCCATTGGGCGCGATGATCAGATTAGGGACAAAAGCCTCGCGATGTTGCAGCACTTGTAGGGACGAAGGTGCAAGGTTCGAGCGGTTCGCGGGTAATTCGCCTAGTTGAGCAGTTCGAAATTGACCCCAGAAAACGTGGACGTGCCGCATGATGGGAGTCTAGACACTTGTAGCCTCGTGGTAGAGGTAGTGGCGGTTAGACTCGCTGGTCGTTGGGCGGTTTCAGTAGTTTTGCTGGTAAACGGCCTCTGGGGCTCGTGAGTGGTGGAGAGCCATCGCCAGTTCATCAAACTGGTCTTGTTCCCGCGGACCGCATCGCGAAGCGACAGCAACACGGGGGAAAAGTAACATAGAGATGTGAAATGTGACAAACAGAAATGCGTGTGAAAAGGAGTCTGGTGCGGCCAAGGTCACTGTTTCCCTTCTCCAGACGTTCACGTGGCGCGTCGACATACCTTCCCGAGGTTCTTTCGGGAATAGCGCTTTCACCCCGCGACTGCCTGTTTTGCCCGACCACATCTGCATTCCAGAACTAGAAACATTCCAGTGAGTCTCGGGACAAGAAAAGGTCGACCTGTGGACGGTAAGGACGAGATTTAGATGAGTTTTTGGTGTGTCGTGGTACAGACCCCGCAAGGTTTATCCCCATGGACGAGGCATCTGATGTTGGAGGTCACACTGGCTTGCTCCCACGCCACACAAGTGTTTTCTATGGCGGGTTCATCGGTGTTTGAGTCTCGACCCCGGATTATCATCAGCATGCGGGGAGCTCGCGTGGTTCGAGGTAGCACTGCTTGGGTCGACTAAGAGTGCGAAGCGCCTGGTCCTCTGATGTCCTGCGACAGTCCTTCACCGCTCAACGGATTTGTTGACTACCTGCTCGTGAGTCAAGAACGATCAAATAGTTTTGAAGAGAAAGCTAGGTGCGTTGTGTGAGCAGGAGAAGCTGCTGAGTCTAGAGGTCGGTTGCAGCCGCGAGAGCGGGAGCGGCTTTCCCGTAAGCATAGATGCCGTAGTCAGGATCTGCACGGAGAGTGGATTTCATCATCAAAGCTGGAACCATGTTGCTATCTGAACGCTCCTATTATCATTCAGGAGTCAGGTGTACTGAGCTCACTGCTATTGGCGTGTGTACACGGCACTGTGTTGGGACACGGCATGTCTTCACGCACGGCTTGATGGGACAAAGAAATGATATTACCCTCCCGCTGTTAGACACATATCCGTGCTTCCTGTTGCATCCAACAGGATGCCTACCGATGAAGGCATGGAATACAGTCATATATATTGAAGTAGCTGGCAGTTGGTGTCACTGATGGCTGAGATAAGTATCCGTTCGTCCTTGCGCAAGTGACCAGTCACCATAACTAATGCGCTATGTGTATGAGGAACCTAGGGAGTGAGTTTTGCATCATGGTTACCGAGTATGGCGAGGGCTACATGATACATGGATTCTACAAGTATATACATGTCAATGTGCGCACGAGGTATGGAAGACAAAGAAGATGAGTCAACCTTCGTGAAGCATATACACGTCAAAAACCCATAGCAGGACTTGCGATTGGAATTGGAATGCTTTAATCTCTGTATTAGTATACTACAGCAGCCATGCACGGTGAAGATACTCTCGAAGATGCGTTAAATCTTGACTATATTCGTGACATATTTGCTATAGTGTTCTTACTTATACTTTGGGAAACGTGCTGATGTAGTAGTTTGAGCGCTCTATGCCTAGGTGTTGGATGACTCGTGAGGATGGTCCGATTTATACATACCTAGAAAGTCCTGCGGGGAGTATGACGACCGCATCTTCCATGAATACTTCATCAGCGTCCACTTACAGGGGCTCAAAGCTTCGTATAGACATCTTGTCCTCCCAATATTCGCGTGGTGTATAACAAAAATGTAAACCAATGAACACTTTCGCTAACATACACATTAGATCAAATACCTCATAGAGTTATCGAGCCAACTTGACTGCGGCTCAAGGTACTCACTATTATCTAAACGAGGGACATCCATCAACAACAATATACCAAAATGAACATATCGACACAATAGATCAGTCAAAATTGCGATCCTACTCGAAATCCCGACTGTTTCACTGCCAAGTACTTGTGCGGTGTACACTCACATAGGCGTTTCAGTCACACCGTTATCAGCGTGGTGGCAGTTCACCCTCTTGCACTTGCGGAGAGAATCCATAATGACAGTCATTGAGGGCGCTGTGATGGACTCATCAAACACCATGGCCCGCGACTTTCACTCATCACTCCTGGTGGTACAATGACTCTGTTAAACTATTTGAACGAACTTCTGCAGGTGTTTACTTCTCACACAACAGCAGAACGCAACAAGTGAGAAACTGCAACCAGAACTACAGCAACAATACAAGCAATATGGCTTCATCCGGCCCGCCCACGTCTACGGATGCGAATCCTACGAGCTACATGGCTTCTCATGGACCACCCACGTCCACGGATACGAGTGCTACGAGCAATACGCCTTCATCCGACCCACCCAAGTCTCCAGATACGAATCTCACGGAGAACGTGCACAAACTTGCCAAAATCTTCGGTGCCATATCTATAGGTTGGGTTTTATGGCTTGTGAAGCTGGAAGACAAACCGAATGTTGGCTTAAACCCAACTTGGTGGAATACGTACAGCTTGTTCAATCTCAAATTACTAGTTGGCTGGTCCTTTTGGATAGTCTACATGACCATGAGAGACGAGAATTCAAATCGAAAGACCACGCCCGGCGGAAAGCCCAACGTGTTATGGAACCTTCTCCATATCATACCGATGTTACTTCTCCATATTACAATCAACAAGAGCATGTCGGTCAAAGATAAGGGTCTCCTTTGGTTCTCGGCCTTGGTAGTCTTTCGTTACTGGCGCGCTATCGTTACCCGATTCTTCTATGCTCGATACAAGCTCGCCACAGTGCCGACTGACCAAGACTTGAAGTTTAGCTGGAAGGATTGTACAGTTATCGTACCGACAGTCGGCCCCAAAGACAACCCAGTATTCAAGGACATGGTTGCGGCCATCTTTTGGAACAAACCAGAGCGAATTATCTTTTCGGCCAATAATCCAGATGCGAAGAGAGACGTCGAGACAGAAGTCGCCAATGTAGTCGAAGCTTTTATTAAAGGCGAAACCAAGTACCAAACGGACTACGGGCTCGGAAAGGGCTGGGAACCGAGGGACGACAAAGACTACACCTGTATAAACACCAATGAGTCCAACAAGCGCAAGCAGACTGATATTGCTATCGAGAAGGCGAACACGGACATTATTCTCATGGTCGACGACACTGCCATCTGGCACCCACGCTTTTTGCGAGCAGTTTTGCCGGCCTTTAACGATCCACGTGTCGGGATCGTGGGTACGCGCAAGCGGGTACAATACAGACGCCCTTCTCACGCTGATGACGATCACAAGGAGATGAGCCGCATTGAGTTCTGTCTAAACTGGTATCATGCCGGTCTCTGGAACACCATCGGCGCGCAGTATCTTGACCGCCATAGCTACGAGATTCGCGCATCAAATACTGCTGATGGCAGCGTGTTCGCCATATCCGCTCGTACCCTCGCTATTCGAAAGGAGATAGTGAAGAACGAAGAGTTTAAGCAGGCGTTCGAGAACGAGTACGTCTTGGAGCGGGTCTTCAAGTGGGCAACAACATTAAGCAAATGGCCCGTACCATTTGCAAGTCGCCCGCTTGCTTGGCTGAAGGGGAAAGGCTTCTCCGAAAAGGGTGTCGGGCCCCTACTCGCGGACGACGACAACTTCATTACACGGTGGGTGATCAACCGTGGATGGAACATTAAGGTTCAGTCTTCGCCGGAAGCAACCATGACCACGGTATTAGGAAGCGTCAAGATATTCAAGTACTTGGATCAATGTGAACGCTGGAGTCGTACAACTTTCCGTCAGAATCCCATTGCGATCTTCGAAGATCGGACCATCTGGTGGAAATGGCCCATCGGAGTATGGACAGTGTACTTCCCGTGGATGTACAACTTCGCGGTCTTCTGGGATGGTTTGGTAATCTTTGCCTTCATGCGATCTGGACTATATCAGGACTCCTCGAATGGCAGCGCACGACTTGTCTACCTGATCTTGGCCATATGGGCGACTAAGCTCATTAAGACTTGGCGATGGTTCCTTGAACACCCTCTGGACTTCTTCCTATACTTCGTCATCCCGGCTTACCCCTTGTTCGTATACTACCATTCGTGGATCAAGCTTTATACAGCACTGAGTTGCTGGAATAACGAGTGGTCTGGAAGGAACATAAGAAAGGCAGAAGAAGTGGCAGGAATCGTGGCAGGAATCAAGGAGGTGCCAGTACCTCAGGAGGGGTCTCGACTCAAGAAGGAGTAGTATAATACTCACAAGCGGCATCTCACACGACCTCTGGATAAACCAGTCAATTCACCCAACCGATGGAGACCAGTGTAAGGCAGCCCTTCCAAGGTTGCGCCTCAGTACTCATCGACCAACGCCAGCACGGAGGTCGGTGCGATGGTTTAGTCGAAGCATGACTTCCTCAACGGCAAGGCGACTTCTCTTTCATTTCCAATCGGCGTTTGTTTTTTTCGATACCCGGGCTTTGATACGAAGTAATTCAGCGTTGATATCCATAATTAGAAGGTGTATGCATTACCATGATAGAAATTTGCAACTTTTTCTCATTCTTAAGACGCTCATACATTGACTCCATGCTGCGAACCAATATGCTCCACTTCAGATGATGTCGAAGTTTGGTGGATGATCATTGTTGTGTCGCGCTGTTAAGTAATTGCCGGGGAAGATCACAGCTCCCCGCTAGGGCCTGGTAGCCCAAATGCGACGCAATCGTTGTCGCAACGCGACGATATTCTGGAAGTATTGGAACGAAAGATTGGCGCGCATTCTTCCGGACGTATCATGCGACCTCTTGTTTAGACGTGTTGTTGACACCCCGTGGTTGCCAACTTTCACCGGAAGCGAAGATTTCATGTGGGCCCATCGAATACGTCATATCCGGTGAGGTTGGCAGGTACCTCATTTTCCACAGCAAAAACGTGCGCAGAACACACCTCGACTACGATACGATACGAGCAATGTCGGCAGAGTAGTCTCCGTAGTCTCCATGAAAACGGCGCCCGAGCACTAGGCGCAATTACCTCATTCGTACCTTCCTCCACCAGAGCTGAAGCCGACCCGACGTGTTGGGACCCTTCGCTCCACATCAACTCTACTTCAACTACATCTCTTCTATGTTTCAATTCTACATTACATACGTCTTCACATACCCCGCATAGAACGATAATGCACTGGTCGATATGTTGTGCCCTAGGAGGACAGCGACACGCGCAGCGCATCCTTCGATCCCGCTGATCCTGCCGATCCAAAGCCACGCTCAGAGGACAACCGCTCTCGAAATAGTACCCTTGTGAGCGAGGGTCTCTGGAGTGGTCGGCGAGCAGACACTCTGATATCGTATGCCGGATCACCAAGGAGGACGACATCGGTCCATGTGCAGGCACCCTGGACCCTCACAGCCAAGACTCTTCATCACCTTATGGGCTCGCGCGCGCATGTGGAGTGAATGTCGCTTGGTTTGATACTCTCCTGCAGGACTGGGGTTGGCGAAGAATGGGGGCCAGAACGTGTCAGCGTACTAAAGGAGGACTCCAAGGTTGGCGCCAATCAAGTCCTTCGCCGGCTCGTCCTCCAGCGACGTACCGTGTCAAAGAAGGACAGATTAGCTCTGCTATCTCGTGGTCCCACAAGTGCCCCTCGCAGCGCAGAATTGCTTTTGCTCAGATGCCAGGTGGTCTGATCACTTTTGGTCAGGGTCTGCTCGGCCTTAGCCCTCTCAATCCCACTGCGACGGCGGAAACTCGCCAGCCTGGGGCGCCCATGTGCACCATGAGGCAGCCGCTTCAGCCTGCAGATACGGGGCGGCGCCAGGCAAGCAAAACCTTCTGGTACCGTAGCCGTGCTTGCTGGATAGCAGTCACAGTCAAGCCCAGCGACACGTTTAGGAGGCTCTGTTGCGCAAGCCAACGATAGGGCGCACTCAAGAACAACAAACTGTATTGTTGGCGCTTCCATTGAAAAATGAGGATACGCGGTCAGCTCTCTTCCACTCCCGACTATCATGAGAAATCCGGCAGTTACCACTTCTCCGCACTGTGTGGACATCTCTAGTGTCTGCCCCGACACTCAGAGGCCTGAGAGATTGGGATCCAGCCATACGCATGCTGCAGCAGGGTTGCGATGATCATGAGGCTCTGCTCGTGGAAGGTAATCTATCAGCCGAAGCCACGGTCTGGACACGCGCATGGGTGATGAGAAAAGCATGCGCGGGCAGCGACAGCAGAACTCCTCGTACGTTTACTCCGCATCCTTGTTCGCTTTCGGGCCGTCATGTGTGTCGCGTCCCAACACAGCATGGCACGGCTCACGGTGCGCGGGAAGGATGATCAACCATCTGGCCGGTGTTTTCACCCTCCTAATTGGGTTCGTGGCTTGCTTGCGGGGTTGCGCGTGCATAGGCGAGACCGACGGCAACGAATTACCTTTCACGCCTCGCTACTCCCTCACGGTGAGCCCGGCCGACGGCGGTCCATAATCAACATGGCACTTAAGCCCTGTAACGGGCCATGCCGCCCACACTCGAGGTCTTCTCCTCGGAACTATGCATTCGCAATGCGAGGTGTACGATCGTAACGAGCCCAAATTTGGCTCCCGAGCTCGCACGACTTGGTGTACGATGGCGCACAGCGCTATCAGTCAAGCATGATTACAGCCCGCTGAGTGTTCAAGGCTTGTCATTCGTTGTAGCATCGTTCGCATGGCATGGAACCCTAAGATCGTGATATCTTAACTAGGGTTCCGAACTATTGGTACTCAGTAGCAAGTAATCCTGTGCTGATCACCCGTCGCAGTGGCTTTGGGCGTTCCAAGTGCTGCCCATGGCCTGTTGCTGTTGTGGTCGCACGTTTGTGTGGCCTTCCAGAAGCGGGTATACCGCTTAGTGAATCTAGCACTGCACCCCATTACAGGCGGAGGGTTGCTTCAATCTTCATCGAATCAGGGTTTGATGCAAGCGAAGAAAGTAAGACTACAGAGTAAACGCCCGAGTCTACATCGCATGGCTAGTCAACGACGCAAGAGAACGTCGCGCCATCGCCGTCTCGGCTCCGGATCTAAACGGGGTGTTGACTATTCTAAACCCACTTCAACCCGTCGTGCCATTTGGGGATAATCGTATGTTTAGAAGCTGATGGTAGCGGTGGAAAGCCTCTCTGCGCTTATCCTTCGACGGGAATCGCTTGTCAATATTCCGGAGGTCGCCAAAGCCTCTGCAGACCTGTCCGCACACCAATAGGACATGTGCCTTCGAACACCATCAACAGGAAATGAAACACGTCTTGCATACAGGCGGGTACAATCACGACCTGGTCAATAATTGTTCGGAGTTGAATGTGCAACACACAACAAGAGGTCGACTAGGATCTTCGCGAAACAGGCCCTTTACGCTATAGCTTGTCTAGTGTCGGCCCTTCTCATCGCTGTGTCCCGCATGCCCATACCCAAGCACACAAGACAAGCAGGGTCAATGCCTTGCGCTGGAGGTTCTGGCCATCGCAACAATTTGTGGCGGTGCGACTTCCCATACTTTTTTGCGTTTTGAACACGCTGTTCGGATGTTGCAGTATGCATTCTTGTTGACTCGAGACCACGGAATCTCAACAGTCAGTGTGGACGATGTCGTTTACCTGCCTGAGTACGGATCTGCGGCAGTGCGCAATTCCAACCCCGAAATATACTGTCTGGCTGGCTCATGCATGGCTCAACTGTGGTTCTGGAGCGGGCGCATAGCTAAATCGATTGCGTACTCTGAATTCGAACATCCCGCGAGACTCGGATCATAATCCTGCCGCAAAACCCAAATAGGTTCTGGCCTTGCATTTTGCAACCACGATCGCTCGCTGTACTGACGTGCGTCAGCCACATACTACTTTGGGGATTCATGCCCTGTCAAAATACACGGCTCCACTACCGCGTTGAGAGCGTGGGTCGAGGACTGCTTGACAAGAGTAGCTTCTGCGACTAAAGTAGTCTCAACTGGTCAAGTGGCACGGATTCCAAGGCTGTTCACCCCGCACATGCTATCACTAGCTTTTCAAAGCCACCATGGGCGACCTCCGGTGTACACCAGGTGGAAAGATTAGTGATGCGCCCATGGCGACATGATGTACTGGAGCGTGGAATATTGCTGATGGCGTCAGACGAGTACCGAGTCGATGTTAGACAGCGGTGTTACATTCCATGGTCGACGTGCATCAGGGTGTTGTCACGCAGTCAATGAACAGGTGCCAGTTGCACTGCGGCCGGTATACTTGGCAAAAGCCAGGCGGCACTGCTGATAGGAGGGCTCGTACCAGCGAGGGTGCGGTTGACGCCTTCCACAACCTTATCCATTTCGTCGGGCCAGGAGGGTCCAGGGGCCACGCGAACAAGATGTCACGCTGATTACCAGACGCTGCGTTAGTATGGTGCGGAACATGAGGTCCGTGTATGACAGCTAGTCCTCGGGAGCCTCTGGTCAAAGACACACGGCGTGTGCACATGGCGTGCCGTGGCAGCGCAAGGTCCCAGAGCGAGATTGCTCTGACTTGGCTCCCCACACCCGGTCCAAGGCTACGAAACGGTTACGGTTGTAGGGCAAGTGTGTTTGCTCGCGACCAGACAACGCGTGCGCCCACCACTTCGAAACGCAACCAAGATTATTCAGAGGATCATGTCACGCCATGCCACAGTAGCCTTGCGATGTGCTCATGTAGGCGGTCACAATGTGCCATGACGCACCACGACTTCAAAGGCTGGTTAGTCACGAAGAGTGGGTGGGCATGCTGGAGTCAGTCCCGCAGTGACGATGTGACGATGAGAAACACGGTGAGGTCAGCGCGATACAGGGCCTGCTGGAGAGGCAGTGCAGCGACGAGCCCCACGAGGACTCGCTTAACGACCCGATTGAGGGCAATGGTCTAAGATTAGCACTGCCCCACGTCCAATGAGACGTCATATTGCCTGCACAGCCGCATGCTAGCGCCACCAGCCACAGCGGTCCGGGCAAAGCGAGAGGATCGCGTACCAGATGCGCTAAGGGCCACCAGGCGTGCGGAATGGCAGGACAGCTTCCCAGTCCGCCCATGGCTCCCCGACCGAAGCGGTGATCAAGCGTGCGTCTTCTCCAGGGTCTATCCCTAATGCGCTTGTCTTGCCCAGATGCAGCGTGAAGGCTCCCACGCGCTGCTCGCCTACTCGCTGACGGCCCTCTACCCCTCGTCACTTTTGGCATGGCTTGCTCTGTTGGTGCGTCGACT